TATGGATTTGGATGTGGATGATGAAGAAGAAGAGAAGAAGAAGACGATGATTAGTGATTCCTTAGTTAGATTTTTGTTTAGTTTATGTTTAATTGTACTTTGTTGTTGAGACTATTTGTTTGTGGACTGTAGTACTTTATTTTGTTGTATGTTGTGTTGTGAACTGTGGATTTGTGAGACTGTTTTTAATACTGTTATTAATTTTTAATACTTTGTTGGATGTATTTGTAGCTAACTCTTTCTCAGCAAAATTTTATGTGCTATTTAATATTTTAAATCTTGTAGCTTTTCATATTAGCACCTGCAATATTTTAGAGTTAAGTTTCAAATCAGAACCTTCAAAAGGTATGACTTTTCTTTATATATTAAATGTTTTCTTTAATCCTTAATTTTTCAGTTCTTCATTTAAAATCTCTTAAAAACTTAAGTTTGGGGGGAAGAAAAATTCCTTTTTAAAGAAAAAAAAAACTTAATTTTATTTGTCCTCAATTAATTATATTTTCAAAATATTTAAAAAAAAATTTAACATGACATTTGGTATTAGAATGTAACTTTGGATAACTATATCTATGTTTCTAAATATATAGTAAACTTAAGTATAATTTTTAAATAATAATGGTTAAATTTAGAGATTAAGATTATTTGGTATGATAGAATAAGACTATATTTTTCTATTTTAAATAAAGGAATTTGTATTTTTCAAGTATTAAAAATTTTAGAGATTCATTTAAGAAGAAAAGATTAAAATGTTATGAAAGAAGTTTAAAGCTAATATAAATTTATTAAGTGAAAGAATGTGAAAAGTTTTTAACTTTACAGCTCGTGGCTCCTTACGCGTTAATATAAAAAAAAAGGTTACAGAAAAAGGGGAGGGAAGGAGGATCCCTGCTAATGGGGGTCCTCCCTCCGCATTACAACTCCACGCAAAAAAAATCAAAATCAAAATACCTAAAAGGGTATAAAACTACCCCAAAATTACAAGTATCTCAACCAAAATTGTAACAAACCAAGGAGGTATACTCCAAAAAAAGACCATACCAGTAATAGAAAAAGAAAAAGAAAGCAGGTAAAGGAGTTGTAAAGCCAAAACAAATCTTGCTCGAGAGTAACTAAGCTCTGAAACCAAGAAAAGAGTCTGCGATGCACCACCAGAAAATGTAGCTGACAAAGCAGAAGAGGGAAGTGCCGCAAGATCCAACCAGAAAGCAAACTATAAGCTAAGTCGTCCATGATTGAGGAAACCTGCAGAAGAAAACACTTCCATAAACAAAAAAGGAACCCGAACCAGTCAAACCCAAAGCAGGCATAATGAAACCAAAATCCCGGGCCACAAATGAGGCAGCCACTCCAAAACACGCAGAGGTCAGCACCCCCAGTTAACCCAAAAAACTCAAACCACCATAAAAAATAGCCAAGTCAGGCAACAAAACAACCGTAGGAAACAGATGGGAAACCTCAACAAAAAACTAACCAGCATAAGTCCAATACGCCAAGGCCAAAACAAAAGACCTGCAGAACCAACAAAAAAAAGGCACCATCATCTGATAAATGAGATACCCAGCCTATCCCCCATAGAAATGTTTTGAAATCCCCAGATGTCCTAGAACCAACCATAATAGAGGCATTACCCATTTTAGCTAAATAATCCGGTGGGGTATTTCCTTCCCTATAAATAAAACTCATCCGCAAGCTCAAATTATAAGCAGCTATCACATGGCAAATCCTATTGATAATACAAACCACATTCTAAGGGGGGCTTTGCAATTTAGAGAGAATTTGGAAAAAATTGAAGGAGTCAGCCTCCACCATAATATTAAAAAATTGAGAAGTGGTAGCCACTTGTAATGCAAGAAAGACAACTCAACATTCAGTTTCCAAAGGGCAATCAGCCCTAACATGAGAAGCAAAACAACATAATGTGTTGCCCAACCAATCCATAAAAATGCTACCAACACCAGCCCCGGTATCAGACCAACTCTCATCAACGTTAATTTTGATCTAGCCAAATTCCGGAGGGTGCCAATTAAAAATTATAGGTCTCCGAAAAGAGACATCATTAACTTGTCCTAGAAAATTCCTGCTCAGCTTAAGATGATGCGATATAATATAAGAAATAGTGAGAAGAGGGGTGGGAGGGGAATTATTATGTTTATAACTATTCCTAGCCATCTGTCGGCACTATTTTTGGTGTGGGGTTTGCCCGTAAGAAGCTGTCGGTCATCGGAATTGAAATCCCGTTGCCCGCTTCGGAAGGACGTTTTAAAAAATTTAGTTTTGAAAAAGATGAAGTCAAACTGACCCCATAATTTTCATAGTTTAAATTAAAGAACGCTTTACCTCAAATCCTGTATCTATCCCGAAGGATGAACA